TCAAGATTATGAAAAATGTCATTGTGATGGTAATCAACATTTGATTCCTCCATTTTAATTGCAGCTATGCTTATTTTCAATAAGTTATGCTCTTTGTTTATATGGCAATTTGTTGCTCTTACATTTGTATCAAATTATCAACGCTTTTGCCTTTTCAATGCATTGCATTCTCATTTCTGTTTTCTTATATTTTTTAGAATGTAAGGTAATGAAACATCAAACAACCACGTATTAGTGCAAAGTGCTTTAAATTCAAATCGTGCCCTATGGAGAAAGGCATTAAACCGGTGATTGAACACTCAATCATGATTTATGAGGAGAAAGACGTTAAACTGGTGGTTGAACACTCAATCATGATTTATGACTACTATATTTTGGATGTTTTTCATTATCCACAAGGCGTAGGTGAACAAAAGGTATTCAATATATAATAGACAATCATTCCAAAAGGAAGAGATATTTTACAAGATTAGTACACGGACCCGAAGCAAACTGCATTTCCCTGTTAAGAATGAGTTGCCTTTTTCAAGTTGTGTGATATGTTGGTTACAAAAAATGGTTTGAGATCAAACCGACATTTGATAGTAGAAGAACAAATAGCTATATTTCTACTTGTATTATCCCATCATTAGAAAAATAGAACATTAATAACTGAATTCCAAAGATCTGGGAGAACAGTGAGCAAATGTTTTTCTACCGTAATACATGCGGTGCTACAACTCTATTCTACTTTGTATGCTAAACCTCAATCAATTACGATGGAATTTGATGATTATGATGATGATTGATGGAGAACATTTCAAGTGATTATCTTAATTATTTTATTCACAATTATTCTATCCACAATTCTATGTATAACTGCTCGATGATATATGTTTGTAATATTAATAACAACAATTTTGCAGAATTGTGTGGGTGCATGAGATGGAACTTACATCGATGTCCATGTATCACCAAATGAGCATAATAGCTTTCTTTCTCGAAAAGGAAAGATTGCTATAAATGTCCTTGGTGTGTGCAGTCCACAAATGCAATTCATCAATGTCTTTCCTGGATAGGAGGGATAAACTGAAATTGGTAGAGTTTTGCGAGATGCTTTCACAAGAAGGCTATGAGTTCTACAAGGTATATGTAAATGTATATAATTTGGTGATATTATATAATTTGCTAATACTAAAATGTATATTAGTCAATATAAATATAAAATATATAAATGCAGTAAAACAATCTGTTGGTATTACAGGGCGTTGCTATTTAGTTGATGGATCGAAGGTTATGCTAATTGTGAAGGATTTCTTGCATCTTATAGAGGGCGAATGTACCATTTATCTGAATGGCAAAACAATTGTCCGCCACAAAATGCACGTGAATATTTTAATATGAAGCACTTGACTATTAATATTTCCCAAATAAACAAAGACCTACGGGCCGGGTATTTTCCAAGTGTATATACCAATATGTATTTCAAGACTTGGGAGGAAGGAATATAAGTATGTGTATCACCCTATGTTTGGGTCTATACTTGAAACATTAGTTATGCTACACTCAACCTACTGTTGGCTCGGTATTCGCGTATTGACCCCCCCCCCCCCCCGCATTTTCAGGTTGAAGCTAGGACTTGCTACTTGCACCTTCTTACGAGTGAAGCCAATTCAAGGAAGACGTGGTTCGTGCTTCCTTATTTTCTTTCAAACTACAAACACTTGCTCATGGATATTTGATTTGTTATAAACTATTTTGGGGTTGCGTGCCCATGTTTTGGCCGGATGTGACCCACGAACTACCGTTGAATATTTCCGCTATTCATTGGTTTGAATGTGATGTTGTTATGTATGTTTACTACTGAGAATATATGGATTATGTTCTCGAACGCCTTGTATGTTTAAGTGAGGTTGACTTACGAGTGACATCACTTGATATATTTTGACAATTTTCCTTATCATTTTAATATATTTTTTAAAGATGCTTCTCATAATTGGTACCCTCTGAAGTCAGTTGTATGTGAAGAAAAAAAACATCTATTGCTAGATCTAAATGCATATATATGCATATTCTGAAATGTGGAAAAATATGGGAGACTTGGCTAGTCAATAGCCAAAACAACAATTTGAAATCATAGTTTGAAATATGGTCCGACTACTTGAAATCTCACACCTACAACACCAAAACAACAATTTATATCAATTTAGATCACAAAATCATAGTTTTTAAATCATCCAGGAGCACATGTTCAATGCCAAACCAGAGATAATTAGTACCAACATTAGCGGATTATATTTTCCTGACAACTACAATAAAATGAAAATCACGAGTCATCTGACAAATACCATTTGCACCGATCCATCTTTTCTGCATCTAGCAATCCATACAAGAACAACAACTCACTCTAATTTTTTCTCATTTTCTTCATCACCTTGTATTTCATATTTGAAGTCTACCTTTGAGTTCATCTAAAGTAGTTGGGAGACTGGATGTCTTATCTGCTACATATATATCCACCCTTGACATATCCAATCCTTCCTTTTCAAGTCAAATAGAAGCCGCCTCCGCATAAGTTGAGAAACTAACAATACTTTGTGTAGTGTCACTATCCAGGGCTGGTCTCTTTGATGTGTTTTGATTTTCTATATATACCATATATGGAGAGGTCATATGTGTCTTCCATGTGTAGTGATTCAACCAATGGGTCAGGTTCGATATGACGAATCATATCTTCACACTCCATCCCTATTGTTGCGGTAGCTTGATCCTCTGAGTAAAGAATACAAAACTCTTCATAATACCACATACCTTTTCGTCTTAAAACTGCAACCTTTGGTTTAGTTTGAAAAAATGCACAATGAGAAAGTTTTCATACATTAAAGCAAAAATATATATAATTGCATTACCTTAATGACCATATCTATTAGAGGATCCCATCGAGACCCACTTAATGAAGTAGTGCACCCATTCAATAAGTCATAGAACTCTTGCCAAACTTGTTTCATCGTTCTGATACGGGATTCAATACGTGGCTTAACATCCAATTGAGAATGAGGTAACTTCTATGACATCATTTTTGCAAGCATGCTTAAATATCTAGCTTCAAAACCTCATTCTTTCCCACTATATGTGTCACAGTTATGCAATTCGACCATACAAGCAACAAGAGTTTGGTCTTCTTGTGCACTCCATTTTCTTCTAGTTGATTTTTCAACACATGGCATATGTGACAAATAAAAATGGACATTTAGGGGGGGGGGGGGGGGGGGGGGTATAAGACTAATCAATTAAGTAGTCATACTAATATGCACATAATTGATACTAAGGGGTGCATGCACTTTTAAGACAAATAGTAGTACATAGTTTACTTTTCACTTTGTCTTTTCTTTTCTATTTTTTGTGATGATAAGAAGACTCAGATATTTAAATGTTCATAGTGCAACTCTGGAAGTTTGAACCTCATGTAGCCATTTATCAACTCTACAAACAAGCTCTTTAAAATCAATTTTCATTTCTTTGTAGCCTTTAATTAACATTTAAAGTCAACATTTAATTAATAATTAAAGTTAATAAGTTCTTCTCTAGATAATAGATAAAGTTCATTTCCAGACAATAGATGAAGTTCGTCAAATATAGAGATCTCTACACCTGCCATGGACATCTCTATTATAGCTATCTAGTGCTCATAGTTAACAATGCTCAAGCATTCATCTCCGAAATAGACAGTTGTTACATCAAAGCCGAGGTGAGCCAGTAGTCCCTTGGTCATTGTCCTGCTCATACTATCCAAAACAAGCTATACCCATCTCCAGGAAGAGATAAACGTAGAAAAGAACCCTTAACATAGCAAAACGGCCCTAAACTTCTTCAATTAAATGTATATGAACATGGACTTGCTATAATAATTGACAAGATTTGTTTAAAGTATAAAACCTTGGTTGAGATTGTACCCTTATAAAATTTACAGTGGGTATATGTCTAAAATATACATAAGAAACACATAAAACAATGAATAAACAAGCGTTTTTATGATTTGAAAATTGAAAATAGCAAGGAAAACATGAGTAGCACATACAAAGCAAAGAAAATGTTGTCAAGTAAGTAAAGAACTTCTATCGGACTGGACTGCCCCATGAAGAAACATATTCCATACAAAGTTATTAGAAATAGCAGTACGCATAGAGCATATAAATAGCAGCAAAAACATCGACGACAAATAGGTAAGGGGAAGAAGCACGTCACAAAATTTTACAACATCATGAATCATCCGCCGGAGAATGGGTGCGGCAGATTCTTAACCCGTTATCTCCGCCACTTTTGCCAAGCCAGAAGTAGGGATCGAGAAATTTTGACCTCTTTCAAACCGAAATCTAAGAGAGGAAATCACAATATGAAATAAGCATAACTTAAAAATCTCTTCGCAAATAGAAGTGCAGTTTACCTACAATGGTTGCAACATAATCAACTATAGGAAGGTTGGCAATGGAGCTTGGAGAAAGATCAGTGGTTTGGGGATGGTGTTCTTCACCTATGAGAGATGCCAGGGCTTAGGATTAGAGGAGATATGGATGTAAATAAACAATTGGATATTGAGAAAAGCAGGAATACACCGGTCAATAATATAATGATTAAATAATACATGGGGGGGCATCAGTTTAGTACCCGACGCTTTAAGAAGTTTTCCTACTTACTAACCATGAAATTAGACGTAAAAACGTTTACTTCACAAGCCTTATCAAACTAGCAGTATAATCTGGACTGTTTTTAGTCCCAAATCAGATCAGACTTAATCTTCCATGCCAGACTTCTATAGGTATAAAATATACAGAGACCAAACCAGATCAGTTTAGACTTAAACAGACAAAATTAGATCAACAAATTTTAGTCCAAGTAAAAACATCCTTAACGGCAAAGTAAACGGGTCCATAGTTTGGATTGATAGGCAAGGAGGGGAAATGTGGACCAAAGGCCCATTGGGTTTCACGAGCGGTAAATAAAGTGAACAGGCTCAATTTGTACTCCAAGACAGGGAGCCGTGTTTGCTTCGTATTGCCCAAGCAGGCCAGCACTCAGAGAGCACACAAGTTGTCTGGTGATCACTCGGATACTGAAGTTTATCATCATCTTCGTCGATTTCCCCTGATCGTACTGGGATTGCTTGGCTCTACCTCTCTCGTCCCATAGGAGCTAAAAGGTTTCTGAAAGAATTTTCTCGAAATGGAGTCACTGTGCTTTCACGATGGCAACATCACCGACTTGATCAATAGCCGTACCGTGGACACCCGCCATGTATGCTCCTTATTAGTCATTTTGTATGAATTCTGCTAAGTCAAATAACCTGATTATGACTGAATTCACCCGGAAATTTTTCGTGCTTCTAATAGATATTTGTCTAGTTGAAGTTCCGTTCTGCTTATGATTTTCTATGGTTTCTTTACTCTACAGTAGCGTCGTTATGAATATACAAACTATTGACCTTCTATTAACGGGTGAAAATCAAAATACAATCTTTTGATGAGTTAGCTACCGTGCGTTCTATTCAGCAGAAACTTGAACTTTTGAATGCCTACAGAAAGTTTATACACTGCATTTTGTATTTACTATTTGCCTCATGCAATTTGAACTATCTATTGGATTGCAGAATGATACTCTTACATGTCTAATCACAGTACTAATTGTTTAACATATACTTTATTTAGCACTACATGACACTGTTTTGATACTGTTTGACACTTTTTTGTACTGTTTTGCACCGTTTTGTTAACCAAAAAAGGAAAGAGGACTTTTATTTAGAGACGGTCCGAAAAAAAACACGGACTATTATACCAACACCCAAGCTTTAGTTCCCAAAGTGTTTGGGGTCCGCTAACATGAATCAACATATGAATTGGAGGTAAAAAGATAAAACGAGATCAATTCTCCACACATATATTCTCCCTCCACTTTGGTCTTCCTAAAGTCATACTCCCATCATAATCAAGAATGTATTATATCATTCTTTACCAGTCTTCCTCTCCCTCTCTCCCCCACCTCTCAAGTCTCAACTCATCTATCATGTGTATCACTCGGTTTTCTACACACACGGCCAAACCATCGCAATTGAGACTCTCACATCTTATCTTCAATAGGTGCTACTCTAACCTTTTGTCTAATTGTCTCATTTTCTCAAGTGGCTTTTTCTAGTATGTTCACAAATTCAACACAAGATATGCATCTCAGCCACACTCATACTTTGAATGTGACATTGTTTCCCCTGCCCAACACTCTACGCCATACAGTAATTCAACTCTACACCATACAATAATTCAAGTTTAATTGATGTACGATAAAATATACCCTTTACTCTAGTCAACATATGTCGATCTCAAAGAAATCCCGACACACTCTTCTATTTCATCCAGTTTGTTGTTCCAATTCTATTGAATACATTTTCAAATAGTTCATCATCCTTCTGAATTATGGATCCCAAGTAATGAATCATATCACTAATCGGTATCTCCTTACCACCTAAGGTATTCCCGCCGCTAACATTGCTTCTACCTCTACCAAACCTTCACTCCATATAATCAGTCTTGCTTTGACTCAACTTAAAACCCCTGTTCTCCATAGTTTGTCGTCATGCTTCTAACTTCGTGTTAATATCCGATATTGTCTCATTAATCAACACCATGTTATCGACAAACATAATGCATCATGGTATATCTTCTTGAATTGATTTTGTGAGTTCATCCATGATTATCACAAATAAGAAAGGACTCATAGCTGATCCTTGGGGCACTCCCATAGTATGGAAAACTCTTCATCCCTCACTACTCTAATAGAACCATCACATATATCTATGATGATGTTGACATACTTAGTACTTACCTAATATGCTGTTTCTAGTTAAGGTCCACCAAAGGACTTCTCGAGGTACCTTATCTTACACCATTTCTAAATCAATGAATACCAAATATAAATCCTTGTTCTAGTCTCTATACTTCGTCACAAGTTGCTTAATAAGGTGAATAACCTCAATTGTTAAGCGACTAAATATAAAAGCGAATGGATCCTTTGAAATCTTCACACTTTTTAGAGCCTTTGCTTAATCACTCACTCCCAAAGTTTCATGGTGTAACTTATAAGCTTAATTTCCTGATAGTTGGCACATTATTGTAAATCACTCTTATTCTTAAATAAGGGGATAAGAGTACGATTCCGCAAACTCGCTAACATTTTGCTGTTTCTCAACTTCTTGTTCAAGAAACGTGTAAATCACTGGACGCCTCTCCCTCCCAAACTTCTCCAAGCCTCGATCAGTATGCCATCTAGACCCACTGCATTCTTTCGCCCCATCTTCTTCAGAGCCTTTTTAACTTCTGTCGTTTGGATCCTTCTCATAAAGTCATGATCTACCATACAACTTGGTATAGTATGATCGTCGATATCTTGTGCTTCTCATTGAATAATGTATCGAAGTATGATCTCTGCCTCTCTTATATTTTCTCATCCTCCATTACTACCCCATCGACATCATTCACACACTTAACTTTTCCGATATCTTGAGTAATACATTCATGAAGACGATCAAGTCATAAATATCTTTTTCTCGTGTTTCCGTCACGGCTTTCTTAGCTTTCCTCTAAGCCTCCTTGTACTCCGTTATATTCTCATCACTCCAATTTTTCCCAATTTTTTTGTAGAATTCTCTTTTATGTCTTATGGCTTATTTTGCCTCATCATTCCACCAAGATATGTTTTTAAGATATAAATAATACCAGTAATTAATTTAATTCGATAAAAAGTTTTGAACAAACATACTAAAACCAACCTAAAATATATAAGACAATTTACTAGAAAGTACTCCATTGTAAGATAATTTATGCTATGCTCTTTCAGATTTTTTAACCTTTGCAAGATTGTCTATTTGTCTCCTTTGAAATACTATCAATCATTTTGTATTTGTAGGTGATTTTAATTTGTATTTCTAAATTCGGAACATGTTGTGTGCTCCTCTAAGACCGTGTTGAAGATTTTTTAAACAATCACCAAAACAACGTTGTTTAGTGTGTTGTTGAAAAAAATCCAGTGGGGACAGCTTCCCCCACCGCTGCCATAGTAGATATGCCACTGATTATAAAAAAAAGAATATATCTTAATTCTCAACTTCTTAGTCATCTTAATTAAATGCAACAAAATGTGAAATGCTAATGATCTTCAGATCATCTATTGGTTGTTCCTTTCCCATGTAACCTGACCAAGTGTTGTCCAAATTTTTGCTTAATTTATCGGGGGAGGGGATATGTAGCAAGTATATTGCTGTTTCCATTTTATTTGTTAATTATAATCTTTTCTTCTTTATCTTGCTTACAGGACAATGTTCATAGATTTCAAATGCACTCCTCTATGGTACGGAGGCTGTCATTAGAAAGGGAGTTAGAGGTCAGTAGTCTGTCAAGAGATATACCTGGGTGGATAACTGGATATGAAATTGAACTCACCTTTTTGAACTTTTGGTTCAATGCAACTTGTTTTTTTTTGTAAGTTGAGCTCAAGATAGACTTAAATAATCTGTTCTAAATCTAGATGGGTCCACTCTTTGACTTTCCAAGTGTTCTTTGGAGTAAAGTTATATCTAGGCTTCTGAGATTTCCTCCCAAAATAGTCATGGAATAAGTTTGTTATCAGCCTTCTCGAGAAAAGATTGAATGCATTAACGTTAAGATAATTTGGAACTTGGAGCTGCAAACTTTTAGAGAGAGATGCTCTCCAATTGACACCTAAAATGCACAAAGTGATTTCTTGAATTCTTCCCTGAAGCTGATTCCTTTAGAGGACTAGTAATTTCATAGTATTATAATTTATATGAAAGCTAAGTAATTCTATTGGTGTACTCAGAGGTAGTGAGGTACTATATTAACTCTGTCTTATATGTTTCAGGGGCATCAGGGCTGCGTCAACACAATTTCTTGGAATTCTAGAGGGTCACTTTTGATATCTGGATCTGATGATACAAGAGTATATGGTCTTTTATTTTGAATCTACTACTCCATAGGCTAATATAAATTTGTGCTGACAGCCTGAGACCCTTTCCACCCACACCACAAAATGCAAAAGTATTCCATAGCTAAGATTGTCTCATCTTTCTTTTTCCGATCGTCCCACTAAGATTTTCCCCTATCAATTTTGGTAAAATTGTGTGGTTCTAAATCATTCTTACTTTATTCTTACTTTATCAATTCAATATCAATCACATAAACTTACTTTTCTTAATAACTGTTCTACCTCCTCATGTCCCAATGTTACTAGGACGGAGGTAGTATTATTCTTATTACTAGTACTATCTAGGTCCCTATCATCACTCTCCCCTTTGACAACCACCTTGTCCTCAAGGTGGGGAGTAAGAAACAGCTATGCCATTCAGCTTCATCCTCGGCGCCTCTTCCTTCCCAGCACCTCCCTGATTTCTGGACCATTAGCTTCAGTACTTGAGCATGCTGCATGCATCTTCATGTTCCTCACTGCAAGAAGGAGCAGAAACAAAGACCTGGTGGCAGAGTGCTCCCTTATGTTGCAAAAGTTAGAATCTCCCAGCAACCTTGTCTCTTCCCCCTCTTCCATTGTCTCATGATCTACAGCGCCTTCGTTCCTTAAATAGTAAAATATGTTTGCTGCCTCAATTGCTGGCTTCCCGGCCCGTTTATAATCAATGACCATATCAATCCCATGGTGAAGATTTGATCTTACATATTCACATTCAAGGGTCTCCTTGTGCTTGCATATGGCTTCTTCAAGAAAAGTAGAAAACCGTTAATCCATCGAGGGAGCACAACATCACCTATTGGCTCTCCATATTGTTTTGGACTTGGTGCTCCAACTGGTTTTGCAAGATCCCGGTAAGTAGACGACTTGATCAATTCCAGAGTTTCTGATGGATAATCAGCCAGAACCCAATGAGACACCGGACACTCACTTAACTCATTATAAGATCTTCCTGCAAGTGTGTTGAAAGTCATCAAGTACTCAAAGTTTGTAATCTCTTTTCTCTTTCAACTTTCCCTATTGATTTCAGCCCACATTATGTGTGTCCAGGGGATTTTAGGAATATCAGAATATGAAACCATGGTTACAGAAATTGCAGCTGGGCCACTACATTCCAACACATAAGCAAAGATTCAGGCAAGAGTCCACCCCAAACACTCCCTTTTGCCGAAGGCAAAGACGAAGACAATGCTGCCTCATCCCCACCCTGAAAAGCTTGATGGACATGATTAATTGAGAGGAGTTGAGCAATTGAAAGGAGCTTCGATCCCAGATTTCATAAGGAAAAATAGAAAGCTCCAGTATTGTTAAGTTTTAACATTGTTTTTGGATTTCTAGTAACAACAGCCTTCAGCAAGGCAGCAGACCTCTCTACAATACTTGACTCACCAGAAAACATAGCCTGTGCAATTTAGGGAAGATTTTGATCACGTAAAGCATTCGGTTATTACCATTTTCAGAAGTTACCGGCTGAACTCTCAACTCTACCCTCAACCGAGTTGAAGAATGCCATAGAACCTTGCCATTGGTGAACATATCTTCATATGAAGGTTGTCCCTGACTTACATATTGCTGACGGAACGGCACTGACTCAACTTGCGCACTGTGAGAAGCGGAAATCTGCGATGAAACCTGCGAACAAGGGAGATCTGTTCGTGGCAGCGCTGAGAACGACTAAGCTTGCAAACCGGCGAACTCTGCTCGCGGTGAAGATGGCGAACTGGAAGAAACGATGAACGACGCAGCTGAGACCATACTTACAGAATTCCGTTAAGGACGAATGGTCTTCGATCGTCCTCGCCAGCGACGTTGTTGATGCAGTTTGGTGCGCATTTGGTCCAACCAAATCCTCATCTCCTTCACCCAATCACTTTCTACCTTTTCCTTGCTCTTTGGGCGCTTCTCCCTGTTCAAGCAGTTCTCCAGGTTTGAGCGCTTCTCCACCTTTCCGCGTGAGACATCCTGATCGGATCTTCGATGCTGCATGCGCGGTTCCCTCCTCCCTTGCATAGTCATGCCCTTCTCCATGTTCGCGTGCGAACCAGAGGCGGCCACCTTTTGTTCTGAACGTCGTTGTTCCCTGCGCTGCTCCATTTTATTATCATGTGAATGTCAATCGAAGCTTCCGGGGTCGACTGCTCTGATACCAATGATAGAGACTCCAGAATTTGACGGTAAACTGATGTAGAATAAGATGGAAATTGTTGAAAACTGAAAAGAGAAAGATACAATTGAGACACTTCGAGTAGTCATGCACTCCAAAGTCCCAGTCCCAGTCCCAACTAAATTTCTGCTTATCTCTTTTCACTTTACCTGCTCATTATTATATTACCTCCTAAAGGGACGGCCCTCAGCCCTAAGTTTCTGGGCCTAGAAGGCTAGAACCCTTTTATTGTACAATATTAAAAGACTAATATTTTTCTTATTACCAGTACTATCTTAGTTTAAGGCTATTTATGGGTCGGTGTACACTGTCATTCCGTTGGACCTCACATGAACCCAATGGTTTTAGACCCTTTTAATCCTGGACATGGACTTTGACATATTTCTTTATGTTAGGTCCTATTTAAATTTTGGACAAACAAGTTACCAGTGTCTTAGATTAAGCAAAGTTGTGCGTATATGTCGTCTTAGGCTTTATGGGCAAATGGGCAATATCTTGTTCTTAATTTTGTTCAAAGTTTAAACTGTACAGACTAGACTGCAGACTATATGTACTTTCTCTTGTCCCACTTTATTTGTCCTACTTTCTTTTATCATGTGTACCAAAACAAAATTTAATTTCCAAATATGAATTGTGAATATCAGTAAATGTTCAGTAATATATGTCTATATGAAAGACCAACAACATTGTAGAGTCTTAACATTAATTCAATGGGCCAGCTACATTATTCAACAATAATCTCACGGTGCCATCCCCAAGTATCCTCATGTTTTATTTGTTCAGCAACATAATCTTCGTAATGGTCCACACCCCTAATGTCCCATTTAACACCCTAAACCCACTTCATTTTCAATTTTACTGCCTTCTTTTTCAATTTTCGTGATTTTAATACTCTATCCTCCGTAAAGAGCACCTATCTATCAAAGAGAAATAAGTCCAAAATGGTCTGTACTCCCACATTTGAATGAATCTACCTGTTCTGGAAGTATGGTCACTTGGTTAGTGTAAATCTTAAGTCTCAATTTATAAGAAGCAAGAAATCCATTACATGTCATTTCCCATGCACAACAATTTACAAATATGTTATATTGAATTCCTTGCTATTCAAATTTTATTGTACATTACCTTTTCTAGTACCATTTCACATTTATCTTAACATATGCATCTCTGCTGTACAAACTTCTTCCGCTTTTTAATAGCCCAATATTGTGATCCATGTAGAAAACACAGTCTAATAGAAATCATGAAATATTTCCTTCAACCAGTGAGACGATTTGATAAAACAACTCTCCTGGCGATCCTTTCCCATTTGAACCAAATTGCAATTATCTTGTATGCCACATGCAGACCAATGTCTCTATTCTTTTGGGTTAGTCTCAAATTTTGAAACACTCACTTGTAGTTAATGGTGTCCACTATACCATTGTACATTCGTGCCACTTTGATCCATATTCTGATGGTTCTAAAGTTGACCTTGAAAACTCAGCATTATTTTCACTTATCCTGGTCTGGACTTCTCAACCAACAGGTCCAACACATTATAGTAACTCATCTTGGATGGGCTTAGTTAACTCATCCATGTTGATTGGAAGCAAAAGAGCCTAATACTACTACTGATTTAGCCTGATAGTGTCGGGGAAATTCTGTCATTCCCACCGAGTGTAACATTTGCTCACTTTTCATACATATCTTGATCATGGAATTATATTTGCATGATACGCCCTTCTTTGTTATAGCACACTGTAGTAGTTTCCTAGGCACCTTATCCTATCCCTTTTCTAAATGTATAAAACCATTTGAGAATTTTTACTATTTACCCAAAAAAGGTCCATTTTCTCAAATCATGATTTTAGAAAAGTGTTCTAAATAGCTATATCAACGGTAGAAATTATGGTGCTTTTACCCACTTGTGGCTTGCATTGGGAAAATTTGCATCTACTTTGCACTTGTGTGTTCTTAATCTTATATGTGTAACTATTTGCCTTCTAATGATACTTGGTTTTAGCTTGGAAGTGGACTGCATTCAGATATTTGTTCAATTTGGTGCAGATCAATATATGGAACTATTCTAACCGGAAGCTACTGCACTCTATAGAGACTGGTCATTCAGCAAATATATTCTGCACAAAATTTGTTCCTGAAACATCGGACGAGCTTGTTGTTTCTGGAGCTGGGGATGCTGAAGTAATTTCTCCATCGGTCAATTATAAATGCATATACTCATTAATGAGTGGATGCTGTCAACATGTTCTTACTGGTTCTCAGTACTTGGACTCGTCCAATGCTTTCTTTGTTGTAGGTTCGGCTTTTTCGCCTATCTCGTTTACGGGGAAGAAGACTTGATGAGAATGTTATCAGTCCATCATCAGTGTATCAGTGTCATACACGGAGGGTCAAAAAATTAGCTGTATGATCTGATTGAGACGGGATCTATAATTTTTGGAACTTAAATATTGCTCATATGGATGGGTTCTCCCAGTTTTTTATGTCACATTATTTTTTGCTGTAGGTTGAGATTGGAAACCCAAATGTTGTATGGAGTGCAAGTGAAGATGGAACTTTGAGGCAGTATGATTTTCGAGAACGTGCATCCTGCCCTCCGGCGGGTGCTTCTCATCAAGAATGCCGTAATATTCTCGTAAGTGCTAATCACTCTCATTGTTTTTTTTGTGTTAGAACACAAGGTATTTATTCTCTGTAAATTTGTTAGGGAAATTTCCCGAAATAAGAGTAAAAACACTATAAAATTAAAAAATATGGATACTATGTTTTCTCTCTCGAAACAAGAGTAAATTACTGCCATGTTGAAGTCAGACTGCCACATTTTGGCATTACCTGACATTAAATATGGCATTAATATTATCAAGCCTTAAATCCCGAAAGTGTTTGGAAAGGCATTAATATGGCAGTATCAATGCCATAGTTTGCAACATTTTTTCAATCATGGCAGTAAATAAGTTATTTCTTGTCTCCGTCCCGGTTTAAGCTTCTCATTGAAAAATGAAACGTTTATTTAGAAAATAATTAAATAAGTTAAGTCGGGTATATTTTGAGGTCATTGATGATAACTGCGATATTACATGTGTATTGTTTTAAATATTTGATGATTAATTTGTCATCTAAGAGTGCTAATTATTTACTAAAATAGAAATATGAAGCTTTAGCTTGAACGTCCAAAAAAAGAAATTGAGAAGCTTAAGCTAGAACGGGGGGAGTACTCTTTAGGGAAAAACACAGTACTCCTATTTTTGAATTTCACATTTTTTAATTCCTTTTTGTGGAAATTTCTGATTTTGCTATTCAAATTCATCATGAAAATTCGTCTACCTTATTTTTTCTCAGAAAAACATCAAGCTGAAGTAATTATATGTAATTAGTTTTATTCATCTTGCTCATTTCAATCTTTTCGTTTCAATTATGTCATTTCCATGATTTCCTATTACCTTGTTCCCCCCTATGTTACTCACCCTATCCCTGTGTAGAGTCATAAATTAAGAAAGACAATTGTGAATGTAACAGCTTGACTTGCGCTGTGGAGCTAAGACGTCATTGGCTGATCGTCCTAATCATTTTTTTGCCTTAAAATCTTGTGATATCAGCTCAACTAGGCCACATTTGCTCCTTGTTGGTGGGAGGTATGTCTCGTAGTTTATTGTCCTTGCAGTTTTTTATGTTCCAACTCTCTGCTAATTTTTATATTAATTGTTGCAGTGATGTTTTTGCACGTTTATACGATAGGCGCATGTTGCCACCGTTGTCCTCTAGTCAAACAAAGTTGAAACCTCCTTCATGTGTCAATTACTTCTGTCCAATGCATCTATCCGACCATGCAAGTTCCGAACTTTTAATGCTTTTATTGTCAGAATATCAGATATTTTAGTTGCTACATACTTAAGTACTCAACTTTTCTCCTGGAGCATTGAAGTTCTGAACTGTTCATTCTAGATGTTTTTCATTACAGTTATTCTTGTCAAGTGTCATGCTCTTGACATGCTGAATTCTACAACGTGTTTCAATTTCTCTCCTATGTGCTTCTGCTCCCTGCTTCTTTATTTGTCCGGGACTCCTTTAATTTATATATGTGTGCGTGTATGTATATGTGTGTGTATACATATCATTTTATAATTAAAAGTAAAGATGCACCGACAAATAAAATGAAGTATACATATTAATTAAATCAAGAAACTTAAAGAGAAAACTCTCCAAGAGCCCCCGGAGGAAACTCTAGAAATGTGGAAGTTCTTGCCCACAGTCAACTATGTTGTACGATTCTATAAAGCTATATTAATTCTCTACATCTAAAAGAGGACTCATTTATATTCTAATGCACCATGTAAATAAGGTATGAAGTAAATTAGTAATAACCCAAAGATGGTGATATTAATCCCTGTAAACTTATGCTGATTAGGTTCTTGATTGATTGCTCATTTATTTACCAATTGCTACACTGATTCTCCTCCAATTTTGTTGGTAGGAATTTTGTATTAAAGTTCGGGTGCTTATTTGATCTTATCTTTGGAATATATTGCATTATATCATATATTGTAATTTAAAGGGAACATGTGCCATGGTGTGCTGGATGAAGATTGGTGGAATTCTTGTATCTTAAGATTATTTTACATAGAAGCGAAAAATAAAATCTGAGCCAAGCCTGTGTATTACCTACTGCGGTAAGTGGGAACTATGACCCTGATTCTTATACTCTCTTTCAGGGCCATTCTAGCTTGCTTTTAACTCATGTCGCATTTAGTCCCAATGGTGAGGAGGTTCTACTTAGCTACAGCGGGGAGCATGTGTACTTGATGGATGTAATTCCTAGTATGTAACTATTAAACTATGTATGCTTGATCTCACTAAAAACTCTTTATTCATTCAATCAAAACAATCTAACTATCTAAGCATTTCACAAAAAAAATCTTTTTTTTTTGTTCATTTTTCACAATTCATGCATTCAAGAAAGTTATGAGGCTTTTCTTTTTGTTGAAGCACGAAGCGCTATGCGATATTCCTCCAGTGATGTAGCTAGGCTTATGAACTTCAGTGCCGTTGTCAAGGAAGTGGAATTGCAGTCATCAATAACTGATATCTTTTTAAGTGGTTCTTTATTAAAAAGCCATGCCAATACTAAGGTTATTCTATTTTGGCTCTAAGATACAGCTTATTTATTCTACAAGAGAAAGCTTCAAGTTTAGTATTTTTTACCTCTTGGTTTCCTCTCCTTTTTACAGCTGGATAAGTGCAAAAAATTGATTCAGATTGCTGAAATATCGATACAAGAAGAAAAAAATTATTATTACGGTATTGAAGCCTGTAACGATGTCTTACATGGTTATGGGGATGAAATAGGGCCTACCCTAACTTATGACTGTTTATGCATTCGAGCGGCCTTATTGCTCAAGGTATCTGATGGATACTTTATTTCTTTTGTTTTAATTGGATTTGTTTGTTGAATCTATTCTAACTGTTGGTGTCTTAACCCGCTTTTCTCAGAGGAAGTGGAAAAATGATGTGCACATGGCTATAAGAGATTGTCATAAAGCTAGAAAGATTGACCCAACTTCATTTGGGGCACTAGTTTTGACAGCCGAAGCTCTACTGCAGGTACTTAATCTGACAATTACAACACCTTTTGCGGCATAAGAACTTGTCTTAATTACAACACCTTTCTGACTTCAGAACTTGTCATATGTATTCATATGACCTGCGCTCAACTGATCCTAACCTGCTTCACTACCAAGTAGTGAAAATTTGACCTGTAGATCATATATTCAAGTCCGAACCTCTGAAAAATCGAGTACGGTTAAATATATCCTCATAACCTGCATGATACTGGACACTGAACACTCACAAGAAGTTTAGAAATTTCTTATTCGCTCTTGGCATTCTTTGCAGTTAGGGAAACACAGAGATGCTATGGAGTTTGCTACATGTGCCCAAGCATTGGTCCCTTTTGGTACAGAAGCTGCAGAGAAGGTGGAGAATTTAATAAAGCATATTAATGCAGGTTAGTGAATGCAGTTCTGATTAGCATCCTTCTAGTGAAGCACTGCACATAAGGCTCAACTAGATTATTACTATTATTATTATAACCTAAACAATAATTCTGCAATTATTTTTGTTGAAAATATATTCCAGAATATAATAAGAATTATAATAAAGAGGGGTTCTGTTTTTTATAGTAAATTTCACTTTGCTCCCCATCTACGGTGGCATCTCTTATTTCTGTCCTCAGTTATGGTTACCTCCACTGTTAGTCTTCAGCTTTAGAAAGGTTTCACATGTAGATTAAAATGACATCAAATGTGATAAAATGAAGGACAGTGTAATTCAATATTTAAAATTTAAGAATCAACAAACAAATAAGAGTGAAGGGTCAGATTGGTCCTCGGAATTGCATAAAAAGGGTCAAATAAGTCCTTATCGTCCGGCCGTCGCCATTTGGGGTGGTTCCCGGTGGAATTTGTTGACGAAAGTTTTTGAGCATCTTATTTAGTAAGTCTAGTTTACTCATACCAAATTTCATTTAAAACTTCAATCGGGAAGGCATTCAAATGAATTCTTGAAGATAACTGCGCAATCAAAAGCGCAGTTACCTTCAAGAATTTATTTGAATGCCTTCCCGATTGAAGTTTTAGTTGAAATTTGGTATGAGTAAACTAGACTTAATGAATAAGATGCTCAAAAAACTTCGTCAAAAAATTCCACCGGGAACCGCCCCAAATGGCGACGGCCGGACAGAGCCTCCTATATAAGGACTTATTTGACCCTTTTTATGCAACTTCGAGTAACAATCTGACCCTTTTCTCAAACAAATAATATTGACAATGAACTCATCTAAAATTTGGGTCTGTTTATGAACAATATCAAAAAATATATTGTTTGAAACTCGGGTCTATTTAGTCTTTATATGCTTCTTATACCTAGATTGAGGTAGTACTCAACAAATTACGATAATATTTAATGATAACTTATCTAAAACACTGTTACAGCAAACTATGTGCTATGTCTAAAACCATGATAAATGCTAACAGAGATTTAAGATACCAAGTAAAATTTCCATACTAGCCCGCAAAATAATACTGAAGTGCTCTGGATCACTAACTCTAATAGTGAAGCACATTTTCTATTGTTTTCAAGTTTTGCTTGATTTCCACTCTATGGTATGACCCACAAGTCCACAACTCACGATTCACGTTTTGACCAACGACTTAAATTCTGTGGTTGATTTTGTCTTATCATCTTATAACATTTTTTTGTTTCCCGAAAGAACAGCAGAAGCGGAGAAAGCTAAGAATGAACATGATGGACGATCTAAATCTGAGAGTGAGGTTGGGCAGGTGTTTTCGTTGAGTGATATACTCTATCACTCAAATGCAAATAGTGATTCTTCACAAGATGGTGTGAGGTCTGAGAGAGAAGATTCTGATGAGGACATGGAATTGGCTTTTGAAACATCACTAAGTGGGGATGAGTCACTTGATAATACCGAGCCCAATGTTATTGAAGGAAGCTTGAATGTGAGGATTTATAGGAGAGATGATTCAAGTATGGATACAAGAACAAATGGATCGTGTGGGTCACCATCATCAGTATGTCAAGAAGATAAATCATCTTACCAGGTCATGATTTGCCTATAATGGATGTGTGTGTATGTCTGTAATTATATACACAGAGTGACAGAGGAAGAAATATGAATTGAATTTTTTTTATCATCCACTTTGTCTTCTAAGTCCTACTATCCAGCTTCACCCCCCCCCCCTCCAAAAAAAGAGGGGAAGAAAGGAAAAGAAACAACTACAAGTGATTTACTGCTCATGTAATGTTTTTGCCACATTACAAGTGTGTTTCTACGTACTACATTAATCTGTTTTTCTTCATTACACTGGTGAAGAAAACCACATCATAATCTGATAAAGTTAATATTTATAGTCGAAGTATTGTTGGGAAAAAATTGCCTATCTTGAATCCACTACTTTATTCTGTAACTGTGTTTCACAACTGCTATACTTTAGCTTTATCTAATGTTTTTGTAGCTTACCCTTGTTGCAGCCTGAGGCTGCTATAGATATGAAACAGAGGTACATCGGTCACCGTAATGTAGGCACTGATATAAAACAGGCTAGTTTTCTTGGCCAAAGAGGTACGCTTTGGATTTTTTGCTTCGCTCTTCTGCAAGTACAGTTAACTTTCAAAACAAATTCCTCACTTGATACATTACAGGTGATTACATTGCCAGCGGGAGTGATGATGGTAGATGGTTCATTTGGGAAAAGAAAACTGGCAGGCTCGTAAAAATGCTTCATGGAGATGGAACTGGTAATGCAATTTGTTTTCTTTGCTGTTGGATAGATCACATATTCTGACACTTGCAATTTCCCCGCATGCCTATTAACTCACCTTTTTTATCTTTCAGTTGTAAATTGTGTACAAAGCCATCCATATGATTGTGCTGTGGCTACAAGTGGGATTGACAATACCATAAAAGTGAGAACTCTAAAGAACTCGTGCTTTGTAAAAAATAAAAATATAAGTGATTTAAAAAAACTACTAATTTATTTGTGGCTTCAGATCTGGAATCCAAGTGATTTGCCATCATCCAATGTAGCTAATGGGGAAGTAGAACCGGAGACTTCAGATTTTCTGGATGCAATGGAAAGCAATCAGCGCAGATTATGTAGTAATCGTGAAACAGTTTTGTAAGTCCTTTATCCTGCTGCTGCTGAGCATATGTTTGATTCATGATTGTTGAATAGTTCTACTGTGCACTCAACCTTAACCCCACTCTTGAGTCTTAAACCCAATCACGTAAAAGATCCATCATACCTTTGCATTCAAAGACTGGTTATTCGATTGGAGCATGTTGAGAGTTATATCTTGATGATCCTTTTTAGGATGAGTTAGGTCCAATTAACATGGGCGCCTGGTTTGGGGGTTGGTTTGGACTCCCCATATTAACATCCCTCATTCCCTTGAGGGGGATAGGTTTAGTATCCTACCTCTGTTCTCTACTAAAATATGAGATAAACCTAACGTCTTGATGATTGGAGGATATTATTGGACCTTTTATGGTTGGGGCCTGTAGATTAAGTGTGCCGGTTATGTTTGGTTGCACAATAGCAAAATTTGTGTCTTCAATACATGTATGGGCCTTTGTGGAGGTGTGTACGTGCAATGTGCATGCATCTGCATGCGTGTGTGTGTGTGTGTATATATAGGGTAGTGTTCTTCTAAGGTAGGCCTAAAACTTCAAGTTTTAGGCCTCTTTCATGTATACACAGTTTTTTGATGAAATTTTGTGAGCATGTTCTCAATAAAGGGTAGACTATGCCTACCAAATTTCAGTTTTAAATTCAATCCAGAAGTCAAATAAATTATTGAAAATTGTGCAGTTATATATATATATATATATATAAAATGCAGTTTTTTTCAATAATTTATTTAGCTGACTTCTCGTTTGCATTTTAATCTGAAATTTGGTGGAGATAATATAAACTTCATGTAGAACATGCTCACAAAATTTCATAAAAAAATTCGACCCAAAAGTACCTCAAATGAAAGAGGCCTAAAACTTTTAAGTTTTAGGCCTACCTTAGAAGAACATTCTCCTATATATATGTATATATATGTATGTATGTATATATATAAGATTAGGTTAAAAAAAATAAAAAAAAAATATACTACGTATATAAGATCAGGTTCAAATGAAAACAAAGTCTTTTCATGAAAAATGAAAAGTTATGTATATTTGAAACTGTAACGTACAAGATTTTATCATACCGTGTGATGGCATTTACCTAAAAGTTTACTCGTGAATGTTTAAATAATGTAATCACATTTATGAAGTTACATGTTGCATCGTATTATTGAGAGTCATTACTGCTGCTGGGGATCGAATTTTGAGACCTCAAACCAACTGTGCCACAGTTGAGCTAACCAATGCGTCCCTATCATTAGATCAGATCAAAGGTTATAAATTACATTGTTAGTTTATTACCCCAATCAGTTTGTCAACCCAGCACAGCTGAAACAAATCAGTGATGCAAATTTAGATGAAGGATACCCCTTTTCACCCTTGTATCCAAGCTGACAGTGTGATTAGAAGATTACCAGAGAAACCGAGATTCTGGGCCTCCTTGGCATATATATGTACATAAATTGAATTGTTTCAACCTAGTCCGATGAGATCATTATTCACCCAACCACCCATACATTCATTGGTGCATACATATACGATACATGCATACATATGTCTTTGTGGATGCATCATATACTTTGACTTGCTCAAGGGTAATCAGGATATGGGTTCAATTTTGCTGCAGGCCTTTCGAATTTCTGGAACGGTTCAGGATGCGTGAGTTTGCAGAAGGTGGCCCTCAACCGTTCGAGTGCACACAGAGTTGATACCATCCAACTTTCTTGTCCTACTTTTTCCATGCTTATACAGTTACGCTCGATGATAGTGAAATTTCCCGTGCTTGGGCTTCTGGAATTGCCTTGTATAAACTAAAACTTCGAGCTATTTGTGGGATTTTTCACTTCATGGAAATTACTTGCGTACGATTCTTTTTCGTGTTTCTCATTGTATACGTATGTAAATTCTGTGTGTATATTGCTGTCATCTTTCTGCATTATTGCCTTATTGGGCTGTTCTCATTGTGACCCTTTAATGCTTTAACGTGTTCTTACATTTAGTGTCCAATCATTAAGTGTTCAGGGGTAAATTTTACCGTACACCCGGTTGTACGGTGCTCACCGTACAACTGGGTATTTTTGCAATTAATTACAATTCCAATGGTAAAGATTTTTCCCTGTTGTGCTTCTCACTGATGTCCTGGGAGTTGGGGATCGGAAGGAGGCGCCGGTTGATATGATGCTGGCATGCTGCTCGCCGGCTGAAGTCTGGAGTTCCGATCGTCGATCGATGCTACTGAGATGGTGCTGGCTCGCTGCTAGCTGGGATTTCCGATGAAGGAAGAATTCGTTGTGGCCTCCAACTCTATCAAAAGACAAAGTGTCGTGTTCCTTACTTTAGTTCTGGAATCTGACACATTTCTATTCTATTTTAATATTATATTTTAATATTATGTGATAATATTTTCATCTTATTAATTACTAAACTTTATGTTATAATTAGAATGAGCACAATGTATATAATGAATATGCATTATTGTTAAAAGAATTGAACATCCATATTTAAATATTTGAGCACATTAGAAAAATCAAATGAGCATACATAAATGAATAAATATATTAGAACATATTAAAGAGTTCAAATGAGCTTTCTAATTTGGTATGCTCATTTTGTAGGTTATGTACACTCAACTGGTATTAGTTTTATGCTCATTATAAAATGACATATCAATGCATATTTCAAAACTATCACATTACATTGTATTCACATGAGAGTTGATTATAGACAAAAGATGAGAGATCATGAAGTGTGCTTCTACTGCAGTGTGTAGTGTGTTGTACTATTTTAGTCAATAGATCAGAGGAGGTTTTGTTCACCCCATGAGTAGTGGTGTCATGTGATTTTACCACCCTGTTTTAGTCCGGTCTCATTTTATGCGTTTTTACTCGTGCATTTAGTTTAGGATGAATATTTTGAATTCAATTATTGTAATGTTTAATTTAGTATAAGCGAATAAAACTTGCATATTTGAAAGGAAAAAAAAAGGAGAGATCATGATACTCAATTGCACACTTTTAATACTCAATAGAGAGGTGTTGATGCTCAATGAAAAATGTTTGATGCTCAACTAAAGATGCTTATTGTTTTCATATCAATGTTTATTTTGTAAGTTATATATAGGGCTGGACTCGGGCCGGTTCGGGCCCGGCCGGGCCTCGGGCCAGGAAAGGGGAGGCCCGAGCCCGAACCGCCGGTGGCCGGTTCCGGGCCAAACCGGGCCGGGCCGAACCGGCCCAATTAATTTTTTTTTGTTCTCCTATTTAATCCCCTACCCCTCCCCCTCAACCCCAAACCATCCCAAACCACCTCAAATGGCCCAAAATACCTAATCCAACCTAAAACTTAAAAAAATTTCAAAAAAAAAAAATAAATTAAAATCCGGCCCGGACCGAGCCCGAACCAGCCGGGCCGGTTCACCAAAACCTGGGCCCGAGCCCGAACCGCCCAGCAGCCGGGCCGGGCCGAACCGAACCGGTGGACCCACCGGGCCCCGGGCCGGGCCGGGCCAAACAGTAACCGGGCCGGGCCGGTTCTGGGCCGGGCCGGTTCCGGGCCGGGCCGCCCGGCCCGTGTCCAGCACTAGTTATATATGCTCAATTGATACTGATGTTATGCTCATTTTTAAAATATCATATTAATGCATATTTCAAAAGTATTATATTACATTAGATTCACATATTGAACTTTATAGAAATTGATAATAGATATAATTTAATAAGTTTTTATAAAAGAAAAAAAGAAAGTGAATTAGAAGATATAAAGCATAATATAGATTATGATGCTCAATATTAGACTCCTAATAATCGATAGAATCCTTATACTTAATAGCGATACAAATCCATCTGCACCGTTCATTTATATTTCATCTCACCGTTCATTTCAAAATCTCGACCTTTCCATTAAAATATCATCTACGAGTATTGCGTATTGGTTTCCTTTCTATTTCCTTTTCTATTTCGCTCTGTACAAATACATCTTAACCGTTCACTTTAAAAGATCGGCACCTTTCAAAGACCTTTAACTTCTCAAATGTCTTAGAAAATAAACCTTCATCCATCTGCTCCTTTCCTCTACATCCGAGACTGTTTTCCTAAAATATTAAAATTGGAAAACCAAGAAGTGAATAACCGGCAATTTCGTTTTACTGCCTTGACGTATTAATTTTTTTTTAGTGAAGGCATTACAAAATATAATGGCCGTTCATAAGGTTGCATTCCACTTCAAGTCTTCAACTACTCTAAATTGATGACATATACTGTATTATGAACCTCTCGGCCGCTCTAAAAAATAGCATACTAATTTGCTATTTTAAACACGTCGGATTGTTTTGACCAAATTTTCCATTGAATAAATTTCAAGTTAGGTTTGAAAACTTCAATCTTTTACTTTTATATATTTAATAATTATCATCATGGCACATTAAAAATATCTTATAATTTCTTCTACACTAATTAAGCTGCCACTGTAGTTTTATAAATAATTTCTGATAAATTTGTGAAAAAATTAGTTAATGTTTCTTATAGAATTGTACGGAGTATTTCATTTCAACTATTGTAATTCAATCTATAGATAGTGTTAAATGACATTAAAGATCTACTATTATTTTCATCTCCCACTCCTCTTTATACCATTTATACTTCAAATATAATCTCTTTTTCATACTCAATATTTAAATAATAATAATAACATTACAAAAAAGACACGGGATTGACAGGGATTTTGGAACGGATTTGGCACAGATTTTGGCACGGATACGCCAAATCGGTGCCAAAAAGACCTTGGCAGAGCTATTTGGCACGAAAAATTGATAAGTCCGTGCCAAATTCCGTGTCAATCCCGCCTTTTTTTTGTAGTGTATAATAATATTAATAATAATAATAATAATAATAATAATAATAATTATTATAAAAATAACCTCAGCCAACTTTTGGAGTTTTTATTTGAATAACTTTCCATCAATTATGCTAATAAAAAGCACCGTATATGAAGTTAATATTATATAAACTTCAAAACTAATTTGAATGATTATCATCTTGGAGTGATAAGATTAAGGCATCCTACTCTACAATATACGAAGTACATGACATGTTACATGCGTAGATTTTTTTATTAAATGTGTGAAAAAAGAGATAATGTTTGTTAGGGCTAAGGAATGTGTTTCATTTCAACTACAATTCTCAAACGTAATTCTTAGATAATTTTAAATTAGGTTAGACCTCTATCATTATTCAACCAAACTCCTATATATACCATGTTCGTGTGTTCATAACAAGCACATCAAAAGTGTTATCTTTCTTTCATATTTCTTTGTTACCAACTTTCGTTAAAAAGAAATATTATGAAAGTATAATTTGCTCCTACAAATTAACACTTCATGTTTAGTCTCAACTCTCAATGACTAAATGACCAATCTCAGTCTTGTGCGGTAATAAGATGATGGTTGTTTTTGCTCATATGCTACATGTCATTTCGCTTGATGATCCAGTGCGTAGACTCTACTCCGCTATCTTCATCCGACTCATTCTGTGCTTTAATATTACAAGGTTAGTTATAGTGACTTCATTTGTATATAATTGATACAATTGATTTTTGTACTAAATTGCTAATGAAATAGGTAGAAGTTGTTTTATTATAAAGAATGAACTCTCCGTTTTAATATTAGAGAAGAATTTTTATTATTAAAGAACTCTTATATAGGAAATATTTAATTTTTATTAATTTGGGTGGACCAAGACCTAGATTAGCCCTCAACTCCACTTGAATACACGCCTACCCAAGAAAAAAGTTAGTTAGTTATTATATCATTATTACTACCTTTATTTGTTATGAAAAACTTATTTATCAGAACAATGAAAATAATCAATTAAATTTGCTGGCATTTTTATCATACATGATTGATCAGGCAAGTATAAGGTAAAGGTATAGATTAATACACGTAGTATGATTATTGGGGTGTACCAGAATACAATTTGAGGACTATATATATGTCATTAAATGGGTAAATACAAAGGAACCGGAACATTAACACACTTGATATAGATAACAATGATTTCCTAAAGCTTAGATTGAGAAGCTTGTGATATGTATAAATTTAGCTCAGAGTCTCAGGTTGTGTTTCTTCTGTGAAACCATCAATCTCAATTGCAAAGTTCAATAGGTAGACTGATTAAAAGAGCCTGGAAATGAGCAATGAACATTCTAAAGGTTATACTTTAGAATTATAAAGGTTAATAATTACAATTTTGATTTTCCATTTTATCTACCAAAAACTTTACACATTAATTTACAAATAAAATAATTAACAAATTAATAAATTCAAGGCTTAAAAATGATTTTTCATTGGTATACTTATTTTTATTTACAATTCAATTATAACAATTACAATAAGCATTGTATTTTAGGCATTTCTATGTTACTATAAAAAATGGCTTTAAAGTACGAATCAATGTGTGTCTTTAATTTCTCACTCCCATTGTGTATATATGTGTACATACATTAGAGCATCTCCATTCATGATCTCTAATAATCAATTTTTCTATGATTCTTACCTTTTAAATTTTGTTATATAATTAATGTTTAAATAATCTCAATATTGGTTTATGTCTCCCAACCATCATCTTCAAATAATCAGATTTTTTCGTTCCTGCATTAACTTCTATTACATATACTTTTTAAATAATCTTAAAATAATCTGGATTCATATTTTGATCCCGGATTATTATAGCAAATAATCTCATTAAATAATTTATGTCTCTCAATGATGCTCCTTTAAAAAATCAGCCATGTCACTTACTTAATCTCTTAATAATCCTGCCAATGGGGATGCCCTTAGGCATTAGATGTCGAAAGCCACGAAGTTATTAAATGCCAATGGAAAACGGCCACTTGTGAGTGACCCGTCAACATATGATGAAGATGTAGCTGGGTCTAGCAATTTTGACACTCTTGATTGTGACATAGACCTAGACAGCGAAGGTAAAATGTTTGATTAATTAATTTTCACATTAATGACACATTATTAAATGTCTTTTATTTTATTTCGATACTGTATATTTACCTCATTTATTTGAAAAAAAAAAATATTAGTTCACAATATTTCACCTCTAATTTTGTAATAAATCTAAACTTCAAAATTTTAAAATAAAGTATCATAAACTAATAGCATATACATTATACACAAACACGTCCATAAACTTATACAGAATAAACATGTTTGCATATTTTTCATTTTCCAGAGTCTGAAAATGAAGGAATGCTCGATGAGTCACTTGATTTTGACTCGGGCAACTTTGAAGATAATGGTACGTAACAATAAGTTTAAACACGAGAAACGACTATTTACTTCTGGTTTGAAATGTCTTCTTATCCTAATTGGTCGAATTGTGATAACCTTAATTCTTTGTCATTCAATTTTTAACAGATGCTAATTTTGACCAAGAGTGTTTCCATACACAAGGTACTTACTCCTTAATATGTTTTAACTCTATTCTTAAGACATTTAGTCGGTTGAGAAATGTCTTTATTTTTTTAACATTTATTATGAATAATATTTTGTAGCATATGTGGATCTTGGAGATGCTAATCACGAGTGTGAGTATTGTGGAGCCCTTTTCTGGTATGCTGAGAGGGTAAAGAGACATTCTGTAAAGCAACGCCCAAAATTTTCAATGTGTTGTAATAAAGGAAATATCGTTCTTCCTGCTATGCAGCAGCCACCTAAAATTTTGAATGACCTCATATTTCACTCTGAGCCTAGAAGTAAGCACTTCTTGAATAACATTCGGTCCTACAATTCTATGTTTGCATTCACTTCGATGGGTGTAATGGCACTCGACTTTTAGTGACCCGACTTGGAAAAAATGTTATTGAGGCCCAAATGTTGTCAGGGCCAACTGCCGGCCCAAATGTTATTGAGGGCCAAATGTTGACTCCTTCTGATGTCAACCTGCCATTCACCTTTCAGCGTAGGCAATTTCCTCTTATGGTTAGTTATGCGATGACTATAAATAAGAGTCAGGGTCAGTCATTGGAAAATGTTGGGATATTCTTACGGTGACCGGTTTTTAGCCATGGGCAGCTTTACGTTGCTGTATCAAGAGTCACGAGTCCAGCTGGTTTGAAGTTTTTGATATGTGACGATAATGGTAGACCGACAAACTCCACATTAAATGTTGTATACAAAGAGGTCTTTACCAATTTGTAGTTTTACATTTTGCCTTGAATAAATTTGAGAACATTTTAATTTTAATTCCATATTACAATATTATGCGCTCATTTGTAAAAATAATTTAATTATTGTTAAAATAATCAACTTTTCATCCCGTGCAACGCACGGGTTAGATGACTAGTAGGCCTAGTGAAATTGATATCACAATACTCATTATTCGACTCTTAATACTTAGTAGAATGTGTTTGATGTTCATTAAAAGTGTATTAATGCTCATCTAACGAAAACCACGATTTTCACTCAAATTACGAAAATGTCACCGTTTTTTATTTGTGATATCAGCTTTATTGTAATAACATGGTACTCATTATTAGACGGTTAATACTCATCAAAATTGAACTATTGCTCATTAATAGTATACTAATACTCATTTAGCAGAAACCGTGATTTTCACATTAATTACAAAAATGCCACCGAATTATTTTGCTATTTTCCCTTGGGCCTGATATTGGGCCGGCTGTACGGTGCTCACCGTACAACCGGGTGTATAATATACTTACTCGTGTTCAGGTATTTATTTGTTGAGCAATGATCTTGTCAGGTAGTTTTTGCGGAAATTGCCGTCTGAACTCTCCTTATTTGTTGAGCAATGATCCTGTCAGGTAGTTTTTGCGGAAACCGCCGTCTGAACTCTCCTATTTGAGGTGCTTTTGGATGAAAGCATGTTCTTCATGATATGCAAATTGTCTATAAAATTTCAATTTAAAATTCAATTGTGAAATCAGTTATATAAATTATTGAAAAAAATGATGGCAAAAATGTGTATTATAAACGCTTGACCTTAAATAGAAGAGTTTGAATGGCAGTTCTCGTCTGACTTGATCTTTTCGGTTGATTTGATACTCTCCTATCTCATTTTACTTTGCTACTTTTTTCATTAATTTGAAATATTTTTAGTTTTTCATTGAAATAATTAATTTGTGATTCGATATTTATCTCTTTTACACATCAACATACAATTTTAATTTTTTATTCTTTGTCTAATTTAAAATTTATAATGTTTAATGGCCATGAAGATAGCATAAGGTTAAAGATTTATTTTAAATGTACATTCCACACACAGTAATAAATAGGGTTGTATACGAATCGAATCGGCTCGAATAATGTGATTTTGTATTGGAAAAATTGAAAATAATAATCCCAACTATTGCCGGTCCGCTGATAATAATCCCAACTATTGATTATTTTTGTATAATCCCAACTATATGGACCGTCCGCCAATAATCGTCCATGACCAGATATTACCTCCTAAAAAATGAATTTTAAATAGAAAGTAAGTGTAAAATTTAAAAGTTGAGATTATTTATAGGGATTACTTGCTATATCTCTCCTCATCCACTTCAGAAACTACAAGAATTTATTTATGGGGACCATTATTGGCGGAAGGTCCCTAAAGTTGGGATTATTCTGAAATAATTGATAGTTGGGATTATTATAAGCGAACCACCAATAGTTGGGATTATTACTATCAATTTTTCCTTTTGTATTTGTATTTGTTTAATTTTTCCGAATACGAATTCGAATTCAAATATGAAACGAATATTATTTTCGATTTGTATTTGTATTTGTTTAACAATACGAATACTTAACGAATCCTATACGAATGAATATCGAACCGATTTGATCATAAGTTAAGTTTAGTCAAATATCACTTTAAAACACATATTCTAAAAGCACATATAAAAATGTGTTTTAGAATTTAATTTGTAATATTACATTTTTCATTAAAGTTTAATGGATCGACGCATTTTTAGGTTGTGCACAATGTATTTAAGCGAATTAGTTTTATAATTATTACTATAAATAAATATATTCAAAGCTAGGTTTGAAATAAACACTAACATTAATGTGTAAAATAAAATTATTTGTTTCCTTTGCTAACCTTTTCTCCTTATGATACTTCTGATTTATGATAAATTGACTAGGAATGTGTATACGTAAATGTATATATATGGGCTACACTTTGAGGGTAAAGCTAGTTTTTAAAAGTTATTGTAGTGCTATTACTACTACTAGTCTTTTCACCCGTGCGTTGCACGGGGGTGAAAAGGTCGTCTTTATTTATTTGAATGTAATATAAATTTTTCCTGAGCATGGACTAAAACATTAGTTTGTATTATTTAGTAATTTAATTATTTTCCTAAATCAATGGATAGCATTTGTCTTTTGAGTTGAACTCTCAATTTTATTCACGACGAAATGTAATATTACAAACTGGTAAAGACCTCTTTGTATACAACATTTAATGTAGAGTTTGTCGGTCTACCATTATCGTCACATATCAAAAACTTCAAACCAGCTAGACTCGTGACTCTTGATACAGCAACATAAAGCTGCCCATGGGTGAAAACCGGTCGCTGTAAGAATACCCCCACATTTTCCAATGATTGGCCCTGGCTCTTATTTATAGTCATCGCATAACTAACCATTAGAGGGAATTGCCTGCGCTGGAAGGTGAATGGCAGTCTGACATCCGAAGGAGTCAAGGTAAGACGGGGAATGAAATGTTTTTGTCCGGCAGTTGGCCCTGACAACATTTGGGCCTCAATAACATTCTTTCCAAGTTTAGTGACTAAAAGTCGAGTGCCATTACACAAACCCAATGATTGATCAAGATTCCTCATAAGCATCACAGGGGCACCCACTTTTAATTTGAGCTCGTGGCAAGGTACTCCGGAACATTTGATTCCATTAAGGAATTCTGGAGAATGGATCTCTTGCAACAAACTACTATCAGAATCAGATAATGATGCGGAATCGGTGCTGAAATATGTCTTCATCTCTGATGGTAGTTGTGCGAGCATGTAATCATTAACCTTGTCCACCTCATCGATTGTTGGTGCAAGTATTGCTCTTGACATTAAATATGAAGGGGATGTGCAGTGTGCCAAGAAATCGGGATATGTACTCTGGACAATAGAAGTAACTGGATCAGAAATCCAAGGCACGAGGAATTCTTTGGGTATGTCAATATATGATTCTCCATCCCCATTGTCACCGAGAACCCCGTCCCCTATCTTCAATATCCAATCAATGAATCTCTGTATGTATGCAGAATTAAGATCGTCTGATCCACTTCGCACTCTCATGTTCTTTGTTAGCCTTAGCACATTGCAAAACGGCCAAATGAAAGATGAGTTTAAAGTTGCCTGTACAATGTCTTGCCTGCTACCCTTTGGAATTACCGGTAAAATCTGTCTAAAGTCTCCGCCAAAGACAATTGTCTTTCCACCAAAAGGTTTCATTCCATCACAACCGTACGAATGTCGAAGAATATCGCGCATAGTCCGATCAAGAGCTTCATAGCAGTACTTATTGGTCATGGGTGCCTCGTCCCAAATTATCAATTTTGTCATTTGAATTAGCTTCGCAAGCGCACTTCCTGGTTTTATGTTGCAAGTTGAATCTTCCGCTGCTGTGAGTGGGATTTTAAACCTGAAAGTTACAATAATGTCTTAGTATTTATTTAAGATTATAAGGTTGAAAAAAAAAACTAACCTGGAATGTGCCGTTCTTCCACCTGGAAGTAGCAATGATGCTATCGCACTTGAAGCTACGTTCAACACAATATTTCCTTGATGCCTTATATATGCTGATAAGGTCTTCCACAGATATGTTTTCCCTGTACCACCGTGCCCGTATAAGAAGAACACGCCTCCACGGTTGGCCTCTATAGAACTCACTATTGTCTCGTAAACACGCTTTTGATCCTCCGTCAAGGCGGAAATTAATTTAGCATGTTCCTCCGCCAAAGCATTCCTGTCATATCTCAATTCCTCGTGTATCAAAACATCATCAAGAGAAGGAATTTCAAGAGCCGTTACTCTAGGCATTCCGTCATAGTAGAATAGAGACTTCCCACGATGTTGTAGAAGTTTTTCAATTTCCAGCAAACAGTAATTCTTTATTTGCTCCTCATCCAGCTGCAGTTCTGTTAAAAAATGGGTCAATTCAAATTCTATTATTAATAAATTTAAGAAGTAATTAGAATATTTTTTAAAATTTCTATATGGTTAAACAATCAACACATCTGTAAATGTGATGTTGTAAGAAACAAATTATTAAACCAAATACTATCTTAAAAAATAGTTTATTAAATTATATATATTGAACTATTTATGAATACTTTTAAAGAGAAGTCCTTCGTATTTAAAAATTATCTATGACATATATAAGAGTAAATTTTAATATGCAATTTATTACGATAAAAAGTCAAATATTTGATATCAACGAATAATTATCTTTAAATATAATATATATGAATAGGTAATTTTTAATTTCAAAATATCTTGCTTATTATACATCTACATCACTCTTAATATATTGGCATTTATTAAATTAATCTAAATTTAAGGAATGTCATTAAATAGTAAACATACCTTGATCATTGAGATTCTTCCTAATAGTGTAGAGTATATCATCAGACAGATAGGGCCAACACTTCTCCCAAACCATACTGGGCAGAGATAATGACTCTTGTAGTAAAAGATGGACAAATGTGATGCGAAGTTCATGCCCTGTTGCCCAATGGCTTTGTTCTATGAG